GAGTCCCCCCTGCCGTACACAACATTTGGGTATGGTTTTTGCAGCAAAGTTGTGCAGCAAAGCATTGAGGTCCTGCGGCGTATGTTACAACCCCAGTCTGACCTCCATTGCAGTTTTGGGGAAGGGGGGGGGGGGGGCGGGTAAAGGTATGGCTCAACTGTCTATTGTTATTGCCCTCTCCAGTCTGTCCATGAGCCCTTATGAGGCTAAAATGGAAATTGTTATTTTGATGCTTTGTACGGCATGCTGGGAATATTAGTTCTGCACGGCATGCTTTGTGGTTCCTTAAGTTATGTGGTTTCTAAAGCTATACTGGGATTTGTAGTTTCTGAGGCGTGTTGCAGTATGTGATGCTTGGCATGCTGGTGACTTGTGGTTCCTTACGGCATGCTGGGATTTGTGGTTCCTTACATCATGCTGGCACTAGTGGTTCCCCGGGGTATGCTGGGATTTGCAGTTCCTCGTTGACATGCTGAGATTTGTGGCTCGCCAGGGCATGCTGGGATTTGTGGTTCCTCTGTGGTCAGGCCTGCCATCTCTCGGGGGGGGATGGCCCCCCGCTGACTCCTGGAAAGGCGTGGGGGCCGGTCTGGAGTGGCGCTCCTTTGAGCTCGGCGTTGCGGCCTCCTCGGCTATTTTTAGCTTTGCTCCATGGTAACGCTCCTCGGAGGATTCCGTCATCCGTGTTTTACATCTGTGCGGTTCCGTGTGTCTCCCGGGGTGACCTGTCATCAGATCCGGGATCCCCCCGCTGTGAGGATAGACCCGCCCTGGAAGGGTGGGGTGGGGGGGCTCCGGTAGCTGTATCCGTCCTTGCCGCGCATTCCACGTGTGTGCGCTCCTTGTACTACACGGAACTCGCTGATGTAATCCTCGGGGGGTCCGGCCTGTCTGACAGAGCGCCAAAGTTCTTATTTTAGGAAAGTTCCAGCTGGACCAGCTCTGCTCTGCCGGCGTTCCCGACCCGATCCCGGGACTCCATCCGAAGACAGGAAGAAAGATCGGCGGAGCGAGACTTAAACCCCCACTGGTCAGCGCCCTCTCCTTCCGGGACCCCCGATGGTCAGCGCCCTCTCCTTCCGGGACCCCCGCTGGTCAGCGCCCTCTCCTTCTGGGACCCCCGCTGGTCAGCTCCCTCTCCTTCCGGGACCCCCGCTGGTCAGCTCCCTCTCCTGCCGGGACCCCCGCTGGTCAGCTCCCTCTCCTGCCGGGACCCCCGCTGGTCAGCGCCCTCTCCTTCCGGGACCCCCGCTGGTCAGCGCCCTCTCCTTCCGGGACCCCCGCTGGTCAGCGCCCTCTCCTTCTGGGACCCCCGCTGGTCAGCGCCCTCTCCTTCCGGGACCCCCCGCTGGTCAGCGCCCTCTCCTTCCGGGACCTCCCCGCTGGTCAGCGCCCTCTCTCCTTCCGGGACCCCCCGCTGGTCAGCGCCCTCTCCTTCCGGGACCCCCGCTGGTCAGCTCCCTCTGCTTCCGGGACCCCCGCTGGTCAGCGCCCTCTCCTTCCCGGGACCCCCGCTGGTCAGCTCCCTCTCCTTCCGGGACCCCCGCTGTTCTGCGTAGGAACCAGGAAAGCCTTCTTACTACAGCCGGTCCCGAAACATGGCCGAAACTCCCAAAACCGGCTGAATAAGGGGCGACTCCGGCCAAACCGGCAACTCCGCATTGTGACCCTTCCCCCACTGCCCTCGTCCCCATCCCCCCAGCTTCCCCCATCCCACCTCTCCCCCTTTCCCCCCATCTTCCCCTCCATCTCACCTCTTCCCTTCCCCCAACCCCCCTCCTTCCCCTCTTCCTCATCCCTACATGCCCCCCCCACCTTCCTTGAGTCTGCCCTTCTTCTATCCCTCCACCCTTCTCTTACCCATTCCTTCATTTCCCCCTCCTCCTCTCCCCCCCTCCCCTTCCTCATCCTCCCCCTCGTACTCTCCCCTTCCTCCTGCTCCCTCTCCCCCCCCTTCCCCTTTGTACTCTCCCCCCCCCACCTTCCCCTCTCTCCTTCTCCTCCCTCGCCCCTTCCCTCACCTTCCCCTCCCTCCTTCTCCTCGCCCCCCCCCTCCCCTTCCCCCCCCCTCCTTCTCCCTCCCCCCCCCTCACCTCCCCTCCCTCCTTCTCCCTCCCCCCCCCCTCACCTTCCCTCCCTCCTTCTCCCCTCCCCCCCCTCACCTTCCCCTCCCTCCTTCTCCCTCCCCCCTTCATAGCCTGTGTCCCCCTGTCTGCCAGCTCCGTCTGTGTCCCCTGTATAGTCCCCCTGTATGGTCCCCCTGTATGGTCCCCCTGTATAGTCCCCCCCCTGTATGGCCCCCTGTATAGTGCCCCCCTGTATGGTCCCCTGTATAGTGCCCCTGTATGGCCCCCTGTATAGTGCCCCTGTATGGTCCCCTGTATAGTGCCCCCCTGTATGGTCCCCTGTATAGTGCCCCTGTATGGTCCCCCTGTTGTATAGTGCCCCTGTATGGTCCCCTGTATAGTGCCCCTGTATGGTCCCCCTGTATAATACTCCTGTATGGTCCCCCCCTGTATGGTCCCCTGTATAGTCCCCTGTATGGTCCCCCTGTATGGTCCCCCTGTATGGTCCCCCCTGTATGGTCCCCCTGTATGGTCCCCCTGTATAGTGCCCCTGTATGGTCCCCCCTCTGTATGGTCCCCCTGTATGGTCCCCTGTATAGTGCCCCTGTATGGTCCCCTGTATAGTCCCCCTGTATAGTGCCCCTGTATGGTCCCCCTGTATGGTCCCTTGTATAGTCCCCCTGTATGGTCCCCTTGTATAGTGCCCCTGTATGGTCCCCCTGTATGGTCCCCCTTGTATGGTCCCCTGTATAGTGCCCCTGTATGGTCCCCCTGTATGGTCCCCTGTATGGTCCCTTGTATAGTCCCCCTGTATGGTCCCCCTGTATGGTCCCCTTGTATAGTGCCCCTGTATAGTGCCCCTGTATGGTCCCCCTGTATGGTCCCCCCTGTATGGTCCCTTGTATAGTCCCCCTGTATGGTCCCCCTGTATGGTCCCCCTGTATGGTCCCCCTGTATAGTCCCTTGTATGGTCCCTGTATAGTCCCCTGTATAGTGCCCCTGTATGGTCCCCTGTATAGTCCCCCTGTATGGTCCCCCTGTATGGTCCCCCTGTATGGTCCCCCTGTATGGTCCCCTGTATAGTGCCCCTGTATGGTCCCCCTGTATGGTCCCCTGTATAGTGCCCCTGTATGGTGGTCCCCTGTATGGTCCCCCCTGTATAGTCCCCCTGTATGGTCCCCCTGTATGGTCCCCTGTATAGTGCCCCTGTAATGGTCCCCCTGTATGGTCCCCTGTATAGTGCCCCTGTATGGTCCCCCTGTATGGTCCCTTGTATAGTCCCCCTGTATGGTCCCCCTGTATGGTCCCCCTGTATAGGTCCCCCTGTATGGTCCCCCTGTATGGTCCCTTGTATAGTGCCCCTGAATGGTCCCCCATATAGCGCTCCACCTCTAATAGGAACCTCGCGGTCCTCCATGGCGGACTGAACACTTCAGGTTGGAGATCAGCGGACAGTTCTGATTGATCGATGTTTGCGGCATTCTGGAGTATCAGGAATGGCGTCTTATTAGATGTCAGGAGCTTTGATGACCCCAGGAGGAGGAGGAGGAGGACCCCCCTGACAATGCTGCCATCTGCTTCTCTCTCTAGAAGGATGGCGCCATCTTTGTTCAGGCATCAGCCAGGGTCACCATCTCCATCCTGGACTGAAGCCGGCTCAGAGATGACACAGTCATGGAAAACATGATGGCTGTTCTGGTCTTGGCGGTGTTCACAAATGTCTGACACAGATCAGCCCCTGATCAATGGGGGAGGGGAGACTGTGGAAATGCCTCCTCCTCCTCCTACAAAGTTACAATGTACAGTCTGATCACTGGGGGAGGGTGCTGTGAGTGTTAGTAGTCAAGGGCGGTGCAGGTTGCGTGAGGACAGCGCGTTGCTCCGGCTCGGCGTACATTTATCTGTCGGCTCCGCAGTGACTGGGACAAGCCGCCATTGTCCTCATTGAAAGGATTGCCTGACTCCTGCCCAGTTCCCATACAAATCTCAGCGCTGGCACCGTCCTCCATGATGGCCTCAACCCGCCACATCCAGCAAAATTCCCACCGGATGATCCTTCCTCATCCCAGGACTGATTAAAGGGACAACACTGCTGGACTTGTAGTTCCCCTGCAGTGCCCAGAGCCCCATCCACATTGCCCCTGCCTGACACCCAACGGCCGCCTGCGAGAGAGCCAGGGAAAGTCAGGTTGAGGAGGGAGGTGCTAGATGATGCTGGACGTCCTCCAGCCAGGAAATGGGGCGGAGCTCTATCTGGCTGCAGCTTCTAATGCATGTAGGGAGGAGCTGACAGTGTGCAGTGACATCAGAGGAAGCCGTTTCAGTCCAGGGGAGGAGCCTGTACACCTGTGCAAGACTGGAGGGGAGGAGCCTGTACACCTGTGCAAGACTGGAGGGGAGGAGCCTGTACACCTGTGCAAGACTGGAGGGGAGGAGCCTGTACACCTGTGCAAGGCTTGAGGGGAGGAGCCTGTACACCTGTGCAAGGCTTGAGGGGAGGAGCCTGTACACCTGTGCAAGGCTTGAGGGGAGGAGCCTGTACACCTGTGCAAGGCTTGAGGGGAGGAGCCTGTACACCTGTGCAAGGCTTGAGGGGAGGAGCCTGTACACCTGTGCAAGGCTTGAGGGGAGGAGCCTGTACACCTGTGCAAGGCTTGAGGGGAGGAGCCTGTACACCTGTGCAAGGCTTGAGGGGAGGAGCCTGTACACCTGTGCAAGGCTTGAGGGGAGGAGCCTGTACACCTGTGCAAGGCTTGAGGGGAGGAGCCGGTACACCTGTGCAAGGCTGGAGGGGAGGAGCCGGTACACCTGTGCAGGACTGGAGGGGAGGAGCCGGTACACCTGTGCAGGACTGGAGGGGAGGAGCCGGTACACCTGTGCAAGGCGGAGGGGGAGGGAGGTTTGTGGGTCAGTGTACATCTATGAGCGCACATTTGCGCACACTGTATACAGATATCAGTGTGCGGTATTTATTCTGGCGGCACCCCAAGGTGAAGCATTGCTGCTGTCCCCCAGAGCGCCACAACACACGTTAACCAGGAATAGCGCGGTTGCGGTTGTTTTGTGTCAAAGTTCTTTCATAGTAAACCGTCGGACATAACGCAATGCACACCGGCGCTTGAATAAAATAGATTCTGATCTTCTGCGTCTCTGCCCCTCCTGTTATTGGGGTGAAGGAAGAGGATGGGGGTTGTAGTCGGGGGGGCAGGGGGAGGATGGGGGTTGTAGTCGGGGGGTGCAGGAGGAGGATGGGGGTTGTAGTCGGGGGGTGCAGGGGGAGGATGGGGTTGTAGTCGGGGGGTGCAGGAGGAGGATGGGGTTGTAGTCGGGGGTGCAGGGGGGAGGATGGGGGTTGTAGTCGGGGGGTGCAGGGGGAGGATGGGGGTTGTAGTCGGGGGGGTGCAAGGGGCAGGAGGAGGATGGGGGTTGTAGTCGGGGGGTGCAGGGGGAGGATGGGGGTTGTAGTCGGGGGGGGTGCAGGAGGAGGATGGGGGTTGTAGTCGGGGGGGGTGCAGGAGGAGGATGGGGGTTGTAGTCGGGGGGGGTGCAGGAGGAGGATGGGGGTTGTAGTCGGGGGGTGCAGGGGAGGAGGATGGGGTGTAGTCGGGGGGTGCAGGGGGAGGATGGGGGTTGTAGTCGGGGGGTGCAGGGGGAGGATGGGGGTTGTAGTCGGGGGGTGCAGGGGGAGGATGGGGGTTGTAGTCGGGGGGTGCAGGGGGAGGATGGAGGTTGTAGCCGGGGGGGGGTGCAGGGGGAGGATGGAGGTTGTAGCCGGGGGGTGCAGGGGGAGGATGGAGGTTGTAGTCGGGGGGGGGCAGGAGGAGGATGGGGGTTGTAGTCGGGGGTGCAGGGGGAGGATGGGGGTTGTAGTCGGGGGGTGCAGGAGGAGGATGGGGGTTGTAGTCGGGGGCGGGGCAGGAGGAGGATGGGGGTTGTAGTCCGGGGGCGGGGCAGGAGGAGGATGGGGGTTGTAGTCCGGGGGGGGGGGGGCAGGAGGAGGATGGGGGTTGTAGTTGGGGATGCAGGAGGGTTGTAGTCATGGGGGTGCAGGGGGAGGATGGGGGTTGTAGTTGGGGAAGGGGGCATCACTCAGTCAGGTCTTGTGTAGTGGAGGATCGGCGATGTCAGACGTGACCCCGATGTGCGGCCGGGCGGCGAGGAGTCACTGGTGCGGATGGTGGTTAATAAGGGGAAGTGATCCCGCGGCGGCGAGATGAAGACGCAGAACATTCATTACATTATCTCGCTTCACTTCTACCAACTAAGAGATGAATAACCGGACTGGTGTCATCCCGGGGCCCTGGGGGGCCACTACGGATCTGGAGCATTGTCTGTGACACGGATACCGAGCATCAGATGAATTCACTGCAAACATACCACAAGGATTTCATGTATCGGGGGGGGGGGGGGGGGGTTAAGGAGGGGGGCTTCCATATGTGTCTGGGGTACCAGTAAGATCTCATCATCCTCTATAATATAGATAGAAATGCAGCACAGGGATGGTGGGAACCCCTCATAATGGGTACAGCGGGTGTAAAACAGACCTGGGAACTCAGCACAGGGATGGTGGGAACCCCTCATAATGAGCACAGCGGGTGTACAGACCCAGGAACTCAGCACAGGGATGGTGGGAACCCCTCATAATGAGCACAGCGGGTGTACAGACCCAGGAACTCAGCACAGGGATGGTGGGAACCCCTCATAATGGATACAGTGGGTGTACAGACCTGGGAACTCAGCACAGGGATGGTGGGAGCCCCTCATAATGGCCACAGCTGGCGTACAGACCCGGGAACTCGGCACAGGGATGGTGGGGAACCCCTCATAATGGGCACAGCGGGTGTACAGACCCGGGAACTCGGCACAGGGATGGTGGGAACCCCTCATAATGGGCACAGCGGGTGTACAGACCCGGGGGAGTGGAGTCGGGGAGGTATCTGGCACTTTCGGGGTTTAGGTCGGGGGTAACGCTCTGATCTGTCTGTCTGTGTTGATTGGTCGGGATCGGCATCCTCGCCGCGTCGCCATGTTTCTCTCCTCTCTGCTCTGATATTACACACCGGCTCTATTAGGCACATCACAGGCCGCCGGGGTGCAGCGCGGGGCTCCGCCATCCTGCCAGTTCATGGTAATAAAAAGGGATTTTTGTGCGACATTTGGCGGGAGGGGGAGGGGGAGAGGTTGCCGCTCGCTTATTAGGCCGTTCATTACGGATAATTGCAGCACTTCTGTCTCGCGGCTCAGATCTGTTCCGGCCTCTGTTTGGTCTCTGCAATAAAAAGACAACACAAAGCCAATAATTGCCGCGGTTTGTGTTCCGTGCCGCACACGGCGCCAAATTAGAAACGTATTATAAAGTGCCAGATGTGCGAAAGAGGAATCCCGCCCGGCTCGAAAGTCAATCCCATGTGATGGTGACGGACACCGCATTTACAGCAATTTTATTCCTTTTTATTTATTTCACTTCTATACGCCGTCACTTTACATATACGCCATATTGCCCCGAGTGTTGGGCCCCCCGGCCGTTCCACACGCATGACCTTTAATGGCCCCCCAGTCTTAGTCCGTAGGGTTGAATATTGGGTTGGCCCCCGCCCTTTCCCCACACATGACCTTTAATGGCCCCCCAGTCTTAGTCCGTAGGGTTCAATATTGAGGTGGCCCCGCCCTTTCCCCACACATGACCTTTAATGGCCCCCCAGTCTTAGTCCGTAGGGTTCAATATTGAGGTGGCCCCGCCCTTTCCCCACACATGACCTTTAATGGCCCCCCCCAGTCTTAGTCCGTAGGGTTCAATATTGAGGTGGCCCCGCCCTTTCCACACACATGACCTTTAATGGCCCCCCAGTCTTAGTCCGTAGGGTTCAATATTGAGTTGGCCCCGCCCTTTGCACCTATAACAGCTTCAACTCTTCTGGGAAGGCCCCCCAAGGTTTAGGAGGGTGTCTATGGGAAGGTTGGACCATTCTTCCAGAAGCACATTTGTCAGGTCAGGCACTGATGTCGGGGGAGGAGGCCTGGCTCGCAGTCTCCGCTCTAATTCATCCCAAAGGTGTTCTATGGGGTTGAGGTCAGGACTCTGTGCAGGACAGTCAAGTTCCTCCACCCCAAACTGGCTCCTCCATGTCTTTATGGACCTTGCTTTGTGCACTGGTGCGCAGTCATGTTGGAACAGGAAGGGGCCATCCCCAAACTCCTCCCACAAAGTTGGGAGCATGAAAATGTCCAAAATGTCGCCTTAAGAGTTCCCTTCACTGGAACTAGGGGGCCAAGCCCAACCCCTGAGGAACACCCCCACACCATAATCCCCCCTCCACCAAACTTTACACTTGGCACAATGCAGTCAGGCAAGTACCGTTCTCTGGCCACCGCCAAACCCAGACACGTTCATCGGATGGCCAGACAGAGAAGTGTGATTGGTCACTCCAGAGAACATGTCTCCTCTGCTCTAGAGTCCAGTGGCGGCGTGCTTTACACCACAGCATCTGACGCTTTGCATGGCACTTGGTGATGGAAGGCTTGGATGCAGCTGCTCGGCCATGGAAACCCATTCCATGAAGCTCTCTACGCACTGTTGTTGGGCTCATCTGAAGGCCACACCAAGTTTGGAGGTCTTTAGCTATTGACTCTGCAGACAGTTGGTGACTTCTGCGCACTGTGCGCTTCAGCATGCGCTGACCCCCCTGTCATGCCCTGTCATGTGACGTGGCCTACCACTTGGTGGCTGAGTGGCTGTTGTTCCCAGTTGCTTCCACTTTGTTATAATCCCACTAACAGTGGAGCGTGGAATATTTAGTAGCCATGAAATGTCACGGATGGACTTATTGCCCAGGTGGCCACCTATCACGGGACCACGCTTGGAGTCACTGAGCTCCTGAGAGCGACCCATTCTTTCACCAATGTTTGTAGAAGCCGTCTGCATGCCTAGGGGCTTGATTGTATACACCTGTGTCCATGGAGGGGATTGGAACACCTGAATCACATGATAGGAGGGGATTGGAACACCTGAATCACATGATATGGAGGGGATTGGAACACCTGAATCACATGATATGGAGGGGATTGGAACACCTGAATCACATGATTGGGAGGGCGGGGCCAATACTTTTGGCAATTTTGTGTATATTGTGCCTTCACACCAGTCTCTGCCCTCCAACACTTCGATAGAAGGAGGGAAGTAACGGGCCAAATAGAAGTGTCTTTTGTGGTTTATCTGGTTCACAAACTTTGTGCAATTCTATAAATGTTCATGAGAAGGTAGAGGAGATGAGACCTAGAGATGGGGAAGAGGAGACCTACCTGGGGAAGGTACATGGCCAGGTCCAAAGACAGTGAAGAGGGAAGGGTCATGGGGGGCCCGGTGATGGGAAGAGTCCTGGCTTGGCCCGGTGATGGGAATGGGGTGTGGCTGGGCCAGGAGAGACTAAAGGTAGATGGCTGAGCCCAGAGAGCAGAGATATGGGGAAGGGACGTGAGACAGGGCAGAAACATGGTTGGACCCAAAAGGGTCAATGGAGGTTACCAGTCCTAGATGGAGAAGCAACATGGCTCAGCCCAGGAAGGAGAAAGGTATGGCTGAGCCCAAAGTGGGGGAGGGGACATGACTGGGCCCAGAGAGGGGAAAGGTTTGTGTTTGGGCTCACAGAGGTAGAAAGGGCATTGCTGGGCCCAGAGAATGAGACCTGGTTGGGCCCAAAGAGAGGAAATGGACATGGCCTGGCCCAAGGAGTGTGAAGAGGGAAGGGTCAGGGCTGGGCCCACTGATGGGAATGGAGTGTGACTGGGCCAGGAGAGAGGAAAGGGAGATGGCTGAGCCCAGAGAGTGGTAGAGAAGGGAGATGGCTGAGCCCAGAGAGAGGTAGATAAGGGAGATGGCTGAGCCCAGAGAGCGGTAGAGGAGGGAGATGACTGAGCCCAGAGAGCGGTAGAGAAAGGAGATGGCTGAGCCCAGAGAGTGGTAGAGATGGGAGATGGCTGAGCCCAGAGAGTGGTAGAGATGGGAGATGGCTGAGCCCAGAGAGTGGCAAAGAAGGGAGATGGCTGAATCCGGAGAGAGGCAGAGAAGGGAGATGGTTGAGCCCAGAGAGCGGGAGAGATGGGAGATGGCTGAGCCCAGAGAGCGGCAGAGAGGGGAGATGGCTGAGCCCAGAGAGACCCGGACAGGTTATGACATGGAGGGGGTCCTCCAGAAGGGGAGTAGATGCGGGCCAAGCAAGGTTCCACTGCTATATCCAAAGCTAGAGAGGTTTTGAGTGGAGTTACCCTTTAACCAACCACATCTCCACATTCATGAATACAGAAAAATTCACGATGACCTACAGAGGACGGTCTGTACACGCTCCATGCCAGGGAAGGCCCCCGCACTGCACACACAGCCACCCCCAGACCTGATGGGGGTAGTAGACAGCCAATGAATGAGGTCAATCCTGGAACCCGAGGACCCGGAACAGCAGAAGATGGCACGTCATTGGCTGCTACCATGGCAGCGGGGCGCTGGCTCTTGGTGACGGGTCACATGGAGGCCATCAAGTCTATGTGGGTGTCGGGATGCTGGAATTGGAAGTATTTGCATCTGATAACGGGGTGTCAGCAGTGTGGAGGAGGGGGATGGTGGAAACCATTCTCTGGAGATAGGAGGACACAGCCGAGGCTCTGCAGTATTTTTGGGTTTCTGTCTACTGAAGGACGTTTGTATAACCCTTCCATCCCTTCCCTCCACCCATCACCGGCGTATCTGACCCATTACCTCCTCACTCTGTGGGCACTACACCTGCCAAAAGTGATGGGGGTATGAAGGTGGTGCTGCTACAAAGCAACGAATCGCAGCCCCAGCTAGAGGGGGATCAGTTGGGGGATGGTAAAACCACGGTTCAGCTCTGGGGTTTCATCACTCCTCAACCACTACTGTGAATGAGCCCTAAATGTAAGGCCCTGTTCCCACTGGCATTAAAAGCGGGCGTTTCAGGCGCAATTTCAATGCACCTCAAACGCCTCGTAAAGCTGTCTGCAATGACTGCCGATTTTCGCACTGTTAGTGGGTTACTTGATTGGCCGTTTTTCGGGATTTTTTTGCACATTTTTTTTTTTTTTGATCGGTCATGTTGGAAAATTCGTGGTCGATTTTGACGATCGGTCCGCTTTTTCCCGACAATGATGGGCAAATTGGCCAATCGTTTTACCGATAAAAAGTCCACGCATGAGCTGTGACCTTTAAGGGACAGAAGTTGACTTTGTGATTTAGTCGGCTGATTTTTTTTTTTTTTTAATGGTTGGTGGTAACGTCGGCCAAACTAACAACCGATTTTTCGCTTTTTTTTTTTTTTTTATCGAAAAATTGGCTGATGTTCGACCCGACTATGCATAACTCTTCATACATACACATACTAGGGACAATTTAGACAGCAGCCAATTCACCTCCCAGCATGTCCTTGGAGTGTGGGAGGAAGCCGGAGTACCTGGAGGAAACCCATGCAGGCACAGGGAGAAACATGCAAACTCCAGGCAGGTGATGATGTGGTTGGGATCCATACCGACGACCCGAGTACTGCCAGCGCTACCTACTTAGCTGCTCTGCTGCCCTGATATATCAGTCCCCGCCCCCGGAGCGTACACTCTAAGGTCCCTAACTCACATTCATACATACACATACTAGGGACAATATTGACAGGAGCCAATTTACCTCCCAGCATGAGGAGTGTGGAAGGAAACTGGAGTACCCGGAGGAAACCCACACAGACACAGGAAGAACATGCAAACTCCAGGCAGGTGGTTCCGAGGTTGGGGTTCGAACTAGCGACCCGAGTACTGCCAGTACTACTGAGCTGCTCTGCTGCCCCCCCCATATGATATCAGTCCCCGCCCCCGAGGAGCGTACACTCTAAGGTCCCTAACTCACATTCATACATACACATACTAGGGAGAATTTTGACAGAAGCCAAATCACCTCCCAGCATGTCTTTGGAGTGTTGAAGGAAACCGGAGTACCTGGAGGAAACCCACGCAGGCACAGGGAGAACATGCAAACTCCAGGCAGGTGATGATGTGTTTGGGATTCGAACCAGAGAGCCGAGTACTGCCAGTGCTAACCACTTAGCCGCTGTGCTGCCCCCATTAAACTTTTTTCCTTCTGTAGGGGGTGGGGGGGATGGATGTCGGAGACGTGGGCAGTGCGGTTTCCTTATATTGTGTAAAGCTGAGAAGCCGAGTCGCAGTCCTGATGGACGCAGTGCTGGTTTCCCACCATATCAGCTGGAGCCTCCTGACTTCCCTGGCTGCTGTTTTCTACAGGCAATGGGGATTCCTCATTAATCTGCACACCCCTGGCTGCTGTGCCATGCTGGGATCTGTAGTTCTCCGACCTCAGGAGACCAACAACACAGTTCGTGAAGAGTGCATGGGGGTCAGTGGGGAAGAACGTCCCTTACATTGGGGGTCAGTGGGGAAGAATGTCCCTTACATTGGGGGTCAGTGGGAAGAACGTCCCTTACATTGGGGGTCAGTGGGAAGAATGTCCCTTACATTGGGGGGGAAGAATGTCCCTGTCAGTGGGAAGAACGTCCCTTACATTGGGGGTCGGTGGGAAGAATGTCCCTTACATTGGGGGTCAGTGGGAAGAATGTCCCTTACATTGGGGGTCAGTGGCAAGAATGTCCCTTACATTGGGGGTCAGTGGGAAGAATGTCCCTTACATTGGGGGTCAGTGGGAAGAATGTCCCTTACATTGGGGGTCAGTGGGAAGAATGCTCCTTACATTGGGGGTCAGTGGGAAGAATGCCCCTTGCATTGGGGGTCAGTGGAAGAAATGTCCCTTGCATTGGTGATCAGTGGGAAGAATGTCCCTTACATTGGGGGGAAAGAATCAGTGGGAAGAATGTCCCTTACATTGGGGGTCAGTGGGAAGAATGTCCCTTACATTGGGGGTCAGTGGCAAGAATGTCCCTTACATTGGGGGTCAGTGGGAAGAATGCCCCTTGCATTGGGGGTCAGTGGGAAGAATGTCCCTTACATTGGTGGTCAGTGGGAAGAATGTCCCTTACATTGGGGGTCGTGGGAAGAATGTTCCTTACATTGGGGGTCGGTGGGAAGAATGTTCCTTACATTGGGGGTCGGTGGGAAGAATGTCCCTTACATTGGGGGTCGGTGGGGAGAATGTCCCTTACATTGGGGGTCAGTGGGAAGAATGACCCTTACATTGGGGGTCAGTGGGAAGAATGTCCCTTACATTGGGGGTCAGTGGGAAGAATGTCCCTTACATTGGTGGTCATGGAAGAATGTCCCTTACATTGGTGGTCGGTGGGAAGAATGTCCCTTACATTGGGGGTCGGTGGGAAGAATGTCCCTTACATTGGGGGTCAGTGGGAAGAATGTCCCTTACATTGGTGGGTCATGGGGAAGAATGTCCCTTACATTGGTGGTCGGTGGGAAGAATGTCCCTTACATTGGGGGTCGGTGGGAAGAATGTCCCTTACATTGGTGGTCAGTGGGAAGAATGTCCCTTACATTGGTGATCAGTGGGAAGAATGTCCCTTACATTGGGGGTCAGTGGGAAGAATGTCCCTTACATTGGTGGTCAGGGAAGAATGTCCCTTACATTGGTGGTCGGTGGGAAGAATGTCCCTTACATTGGTGGTCGGTAGGAAGAATGCCCCTTACATTGGTGGGTCGGTGGGAAGAATGCCCCTTACATTGGTGGTCGGTGGGAAGAATGTCCCTTACATTGGTGGTCGGTGGGGAAGAATGTCCCTCACATTGGGGGTCGGTGGGAAGAATGTCCCTCACATTGGGGGTCGGTGGGAAGAATGTCCCTTACATTGGAGGTCACAATGGCACTGACCCCACAATTCTGCAGGCACCATCAGATGGAAGGTCACATCTTGGGGAACCCTTGGCAACCTCTGGAGGAACAGTAGTTGAAATTGGCTGCAATAAAGCGATTGTTCCGGCTTTTTGTTTCGGATGCTCGGTAGATGGAAGAGATCCTGAGATGATTGTTAGATGTTTATGGGGCCCAATGTTGGTCTGACACAACCATTGATGGATTCATGGGAAGGACACCAGGCATGACCTCTGGATGTTCCCGTCTGGCACACGGCACGGCGTGGAGAATTGCCAAGGAATTCATATAAGCCGGGAACATTTAGAGGAACAACTGACCACTAAATTGTCCACCAGAGTTGACCTTCAGCGTGTTGTCACACTTGTCTTGGTCAACACTCAACCCCACACACAGGGGCCCCAAGCTGGCCCACCTTTGAACCAAAATCCTTCCCACAATTCAGGTGGACGACGTCATGTTATCTTCTGATTCCGATCGAAGGTTAATTGACCCAATATGGATTTATCATTGAGTGGAGCATAAACTACAGGCAGCGTCCGGTAGGGAGGAGGGCGAGGACGGAGGGGGGTGAGGAGGGCAAGGACGGGGTGGGCCGAGGACTGAGGTGGGTGAGGACGGCGGAGGAGGGCCAGGGGCAAGGACGGGGGGGGGCAGGGGGGGGCGGAGAGGCCGAGGATTGAGGGGGGGCAGAGGGCGGAGGACGGAGGAGGACGGGGAGGGAGGGGGGCCAAGGATGGGGGGGGGTGAGGACGGAGAAGGGCCGAGGGGGGGGGGGGGGAGGGACGGGAGGAGGGCCGAGGGGGGCGGGGGCCGAGGAGGGTGAGGACGGAGGGGGGCCGAGGAGGGCGAGGACAGAAGGGGGGCCGAGGAGGGCGAGGACGGAGGAGGGCGAGGACGAGAAGGGGGGCCGAGGAGGGTGAGGACGGAGGAGGCCGAGGGGGGGTGGGGCCGAGGACGGAGGGGGGCCGAGGATGGAGGGGGGCGGAGGCCGAGGAGGGTAAGGACGGAGGAGGCCGAGGACGGAGGGGGGGCCGAGGATGGGTGAGGACGGAGGGGGGCCGAGGATGGGTGAGGACGGAGGGAGGGCCAATGACGGAGGAGGCCGAGGACGGAAGGGGGGCCGAGGACAGAAGGGGGGCCGAAGACGGAGGAGGGCGAACGAAGAGGGCCGAGGACGGAGGAGGCCGAGGACAGAAGGGGGGCCGAGGACAGAGGGGGATCAAGGAGGCCAAGGACGGAGGGGGGGAGGCCGAGGACGGAGGGGGATCAAGGAGGCCGAGGACGGAGGGGGGCCGAGGACGGAGGGGGATCAAGGAGGCCGAGGACGGAGGGGGGCCGAGGGGGGGCCGACAGAGGGGGGGCCGAGGACAGAGGAGGGCAAGGACAGCGCACAGCTGTGGCTCCTCCATAATGCGTTTTTTATGGCACAGCGGAGATGATATTCGGAGGAAGATTGCGGCTCGTCACTTCAAATGACGGAAACATTAAAGCGGCATAAAACTTGGCTCTCCGGTGTCTGGCTAATGGGGGACGCGGATTCGTTTTATTGGCTGATCACAGACAATTAGCACAGCCTGCGCCGCTGCGCGCTGAACACATCTGCCGCTCTGATGCTGCGGAGGATGGCGGCAAAGTGTGCGTTTGTAAAGGGGGTGGCGACTGCTTCTAGAGAGCTTCCGGAATTCTCTTTGCACAGCCGAGAATGGAGAAGTGTTTTGGCCGCGGTTCACACTGATGCGACTTATTGTGCGATGTGCAACACAGAAAGTCGCAGCACAAGTCAGTACATATTCGTTTTAATCGGTGCCATCTTCATCAATGCGACTCAAGTCACACCGACGTGAAAAGAAGTTCCTGCAATACCTTTCTGCATCTTTGGTGTGACTTCAGTGCCATAGACTGCAATGTTGAAGCCCACCCACCGCCAGGCCGCATATATACCTACCTCCGGTGGGAGTTGGGTGACCCAGACCGCCAGGCCATATACAGTGAGGATCAGAAGTATTTGAACCCCCTGCGATTCTGCACGTTCTCCCACTTCTCCATCACGGAGGGTCTGACATTCACATTGCAGGGGATTCCCACTCTGAGGACAGAATTCAGGAGATCACATTGTATGATTTGTAAAGAATGTATTTGTCTCGCACGGCTGAACAGAAGTATTTGAACCCCTAAGAAACAGCAAGAATTCTGCCTCTCAAAGACCTGTTACTGCGCCTTTAAAAAGCCCCCCTCTACTCCACTCATTAATCTCACTTAAACCTGTCTGAGCTCTATGAAGACACTTGTCCACCCCACAGTCAGTCAGACGCCAACTACTACCATGGGCAAGACCGAAGAGCTGTTAAAAGACACCAGAGACAAAATTGTGGACCTCCACAAGGCTGGAAAGGGCTACGGGGCAATTGCCAAGCAGCTTGGTGAAAATAGATCAACTGTTGGAGCAATTGTTAGAAAATGGAAGAGGCTGAAGACGACTGTCAGTCTCCCTCGGACTGGGGCTCCATGCAAGATGTCCCCTCGTGGGGTATCACTGATGAGAAGAAAGGTGAGGAATCAGCCCAGAACTACAAGGGAGGAGCTGGTCAATGACATGAAGAGAGCTGGGGCCACAGTTTCACAGGTCACTGTCGGTAGAACACTACGCCGTCATGGTTTCCAATCATGCATTGCACGGAAGGTTCCCCTGCTCCAGTCATCACATGTCCAGGCCCGTCTGAAGGTTCCCCTGCTCCAGTCATCACATGTCCAGGCCCGTCTGAAGGTTCCCCTGTCTCCAGTCATCACATGTCCAGGCCCGTCTGAAGGTTCCCCTGCTCCAGTCATCACATGTCCAGGCCCGTCTGAAGGTTTCCCCTGCTCCAGTCATCACATGTCCAGGCCCGTCTGAAGGTTCCCTGCTGCTCCAGTCATCACATGTCCAGGCCCGTCTGAAGGTTCCCCTGCTCAAGTCATCACATGTCCAGGCCCATCTGAAGGTTCCCCTGCTCCAGTCATCACATGTCCAGGCCCGTCTGAAGGTTTTTCCTGCTCCAGTCATCACATGTCCAGGCCCGTCTGAAGGTTTTTTTCCTGCTCCAGTCATCACATGTCCAGGCCCGTCTGAAGGTTCCCCTGCTCCAGTCATCACATGTCCAGGCCCGTCTGAAGGTTCCCCTGCTCCAGTCATCACATGTCCAGGCCCGTCTGAAAGTTCCCCTGCTCCAGTCCAGTCATCACATGTCCAGGCCCGTCTGAAGGTTCCCCTGCTCCAGTCATCACATGTCCAGGCCCGTCTGAAGGTTCCCCTGCTCCAGTCATCACATGTCCAGGCCCGTCTGAAGGTTCCCCTGCTCCAGTCATCACATGTCCAGGCCCGTCTGAAGGTTCCCCTGCTCTCAAGTCATCACATGTCCAGGCCCATCTGAAGGTTCCCCTGCTCCAGTCATCCATCACATGTCCAGGCCCCCGTCTGAAGGTTGCCAATGACCATCTGGATGATCCAGAGGAGACATGGGAGAAAGTCATGTGGTCAGAGGAGACCAAAGGAGAACTTTTTGGTCTAAACTTCACTCGTCGTGTTTGGAGGAAAAAGAAGGATGAGTTGCATCCCAAGAACACCATCCCTACTGTGAAGCATGGGGGTGGTAACATCTTGCTTTGGGGGTGCTTTTCTGCGAAGGGGACAGGACGACTGCACTGTATTAAGGAGAGGATGAATGGGGCCATTTATTGTGAGATTTTCAGCAACAACCTCCTTCCCTCAGTCAGAGCATTGAAGACGGGTCATGGCTGGGTCTTCCAACATGACAACGACCCGAAGCACACAGCCAGGAGAACCAAGGAGTGGCCCCGTAAGAAGCATATCGAGGTTCTGGAGTGGCCTAGCCAGTCTCCACACCTAAATCCAATAGAACATCTTTGGAGGGAGCTGAAACTCCGTGTTGCTCAGCGACAGCCCCGAAACCTGACAGATCTAGAGGAGATCGGTGTGGAGGAGTCGGCCAAAATCCCTGTTGCAGTGCAAACCTGGCCAAGGACTACAGGAAACGTCTGACCTCTGTAATTGCAGACAAAGGCTTCTGTACCAAATATTAACACGGATCTTCTCAGGGGTTCAAATACTTCTGTTCAGCCGTGCGAGACAAATACATTCTTTACAAATCATACAATGTGATCTCCTGAATTCTGTCCTCAGAGTGGGAATCCCCTGCAATGTGAATGTCAGACCCTCCATGATGGAGAAGTGGGAGAACTTGCAGAATCGCAGGGGGTTCAAATACTTCTGTTCCTCACTGTATTAGAATAGAATAGAATATAAAAGAATAGAATAGAATAGAGCCATCTTCAAAAATTTTAATTTCAAATAGATTAAAATAAAAAATAATCGACTAGAAAACAAAAGGATAGAAAACAATCTCCTGAAATTTGACTTTTGAATAGAACAAATTCAAATTTTCCCAATTCTGAGAATTCGATCCAACCAAACAAAATGAATTCCGAAAATGAATTAAGCGAATTTAAACAAAATGAATGGAAATGAAACAAAACACATTTTTCCCGGCCTGCTTCACTCGGAATCCTCCTTTAATGAAGGGCATCTCATGACTGACAGTTGCTCGTGTTTTGCCCAGAAGGATCACTTTTGCGTTTTTCTGAAGTCGGAATCCTCGGGAATGTCGCCTAATCCCGCCGGGAACAA